GAACCTTCTGGTAGGACAAGAGGAAGAGCTCCAAGTGCTTAGGGGAGCTGAGGACTATGTTCAAGTCAGCTTTGAGGATCTTTGGAAGGATCTCTTCAAACATGGTCTCTGGGACCTAGCAATGGGGAGACAGATTATGGGAAGGTGGCTCTCTCCAAACATCCTTGGTCTATCCCTATATAGGGCAAGCCCTCTAGACTCTGTTCTACCTGCTGGGCTTCAGGCACAGTGCCAATCTGAGGCAGGGCAGTCCGTAGTCACATTTCACCTTGTAGGTACCAGAACCATCATTAATTAACTTCAAGCTTCAGGGAAGCTGGTTTTTAATAAGCATCTTGCCGATGCTGACCTGCCTGGGGCTGCCCTTTTAATCAGTATTTTTTGGTTTCTTAGATGATAGGTCCATTTTTTTCTTCTTTTCTTTGGGACAGGGTCTTGCTCTGTAATTCAGGCTGGCCTTGAATTCTTGGCCATCCTCATGCCTTGGCCTCCCAAGTGCTGGGGTTACAGGCATGCGGCACCATGTCCAGTAATAAGCCCATTTCTTTTATAAGGACTAAGTGAAATTCTGGAATTGTAATTCAGGTCCTTTTGGCTTTGAGGCCAAGACTGAGACTGTGCACATGCCAGCCCCTGCCCTTTTCTTCAGTGGCAAAGTTAAGATACAAGCCTACTGCAGTTTCCCAAGTAGAGCAGTGGAGGCCCACAAAAGGCCTGCCTTCATCAAAATAAAAATGGCAAGCACATTAGAACAGGCATTTAGCTCAGTGGCACCGTGTATGCCTCAAAAGCGCAAGGTCCAGAGTTTGATCCCAGTAACAACAACAAAAAAGGCAAGCATGTTTAATACATTTGCCATGTGCCAGGCACCTAGACCCATACAGAAGCCATCAGCAGGGCCACGGGTACTTGAAATATGTTGAATCTGAGTGAAGATATGTTGTAAGAACAAAATACACACTGGATTTCTGATTTAATATGACCAAAGGAATACAAACAATCTTAACAATTATTTACACCAATTCCATGTTTAACATAGTATTTTAGACACACTACATTAAAATGTTACCAAACTACACCTGTTTCGTTTCACCTTTTCAATGCAGTTACTGAAAAATTTCCAACTATATACCTTCAAGAATCTGTTGAGGGCTGGGAATTTAGCTCAGTGGTTCTGTTGCCTGCCTTGTAAACATCAAGGTCCTGAGTTCAATCCTCAGTACCAAAAAAGAAAGAAAAGAAAAGAAAGAAAAAGCTCTGTTTTGCCGGGCGTGGTGGCGCACACCTGTAATCCCAGCCCTTGGAGGCTGAGGCAGGAGGATCGCTGCAAGTTCGAGACCAACATGGGCTACACAGTGAGTTGCAGGTCAGTCTCAACTACATAGTGAGACCCTGTCTCAAAAACGAAACAAAACAAAACAAAACAAAAAAACCCAACCAACCAACCAACCAAACAAACAAAAAAAACATTCTATGGAGTACTGTGCCTGACTGGCAAAAGCAAGGTCCTGAGTTTGATCCCTAGTACCCACCCTCCTCAAAAAAGATTCTGTGGTACCACAGCAAGCCATCCCGTACCTCAGAAAGGATGTCCACCAGGGCTTGCATGGGCTGCCCCTGTAAGTGGTTGTAGTGGTGGCTCAGGACTTGCAGCAGCTTCACTGACTTCATCAGGGCCTTCTGGTCCTGGTACCCAGAGAGCAGAAGGTATGAGCAGAGCATGCTACTGCCCCTCATCCCACCATTCCTCAGCCAGTCCACATGCTCCCTGCACCCCCAGAGCTCTTACCTTCACCAGTCGGCCTGACTGAAACAGGGCTAGCACCCCAAACAGGTTTGCAAAGAGAGCAGGTCTTATCATAGCCTAGAAAAAGATTCCAGGCACAGTAAGAAGGGCCCAAGCAGCCTGCACCCTCCACCCCTGAGCTGATATTCCCGGGTCCATGCTCACCTTCTTTACTGTATGCAGCTCATATTTTTCTTGTACTTGTTCCAGGATGCTGCACAAGGGGATGTCTTCAAAAGACTGTAGCAACTGCCAGGAACAGTGACAAGGGGAGGAGAAGGGTTCAGGGTGGTGGCCCAGCTACATACTATCAGACCTTAACCCCAATCCCCTTTTCCTGGTATTGTAGATTGACCCCTGGGAGTGCTGAGCTACAGCCCCAGTCCTTGTTATTTTTATTTTGAGACAAGGCTTGCTAAATTGCTCAGCTTAGGTTCGAACTTGCAATCATCTTAATTCAACCTACAGAGTAGCTGGGATTATGGTGTGCCACTATGGCTGGCGTTAACCACATCTTCTCCCTTCAGTTTTTCCCAAGAAGCCTTGAGTCCCTACTCCCACCCAAAGGATGCCTGTGAAGTCACTCACACCGCTCTGAGCATCACTGAGGATGGGATACTACTGCTGAAATGGAATGGAATCTTGTTTCCCGGCCTCATACCCACTAGGACTTTAGAAGTTACCTTCCATGCCCGCTACACTGCGCGCTTGTGATCCCCAGACAATCCATCCTATTCTCACAACGTGAGCTCCAAGTCAGTGATGGCCAACCTTTTAGAGACCAGTGCCCAAACTGTACCCTAAATCCACTTATTTATCACAAAGTGCCAACCCCGCCTTTATGTGTGCTGTTTCTGACGCCTGTTGGGGCGATGCTGGGGCGACTTGGCTCTCCTGCCACAGAGAGGGCGCAGCATGCCCACTGCAGCTCGCGTGCCAGTTGTAGCTCGCGTGCCATAGGTTCACCATCGTTGCTCTAGGTCGACCCTAAAAGTCTAAGGTTTTACTGCGGTTTGTTGTACAAGTTCCTCCGAGCAGCATCGAAAAGAAAACTTGCTCAAATTCTCACTCCACTTACCTGGACTTCTTTGTAGACAGGCCTTGACCCCGGCACTTCCTCACACTATCGCCACGCGAGGGTGCCTCCCATCAGCTCAGTCTTTTCCCTCTGGACCCATCTCCCTTGCAGGCGAGACACCCACCCTCCTCCCACCCTAACTCTGCCCAGCACCGTCTTACCTGTGCCAGAGCCACACTGTAACAGGGCCTAGCGGCTTCTCGCCCCACCCCCAGACCAGTGATGAGGCGTTTCAGAGCATACTTCATCTCGGATCCCTGCGGAATCAAGAGAAAGCCTCGTGTTAGACGGTAACAAGAGGGCCCACTCTCGCTCTCCCGGGCATCCAGAGTCGCGAAGGTGCGGCTCTGTCCCAAGTCCCCATCACCGTGCCTCGGGCCTTGCGCGAAGGTACGCCAACAGCTTTTCTGTGGCCTCCAGCCGCGTCTCCTGCTCCGGCTTCGCAATGTCCCAGAAGAAGTCCAGGAACTCGCGGCTGTGTTCCAGAAGGCCATGGCGATCGGCAGAAGTCGCCTCCGACGGAGGCGCAGCCTCTGCGACTCCAGGACCCTTCTTCACCGCCATGCTGCGCAAAACACGTGGGCTCGGAAGACAGTCACTTCCAGGTCAGGCCGCGGCGCTTGCGCACTGGGTCGGACCTCTGGGGGCGGGGCCGGGCTCGGCTTGGGGCGGAGCCATAGGAAGGCTCGCACTTCCGCCAGTAAAGGGTGGAAAATCCCGGTTGCTGCAGCCAGCGGGGTCCCTGGCCGTTTAGAACACTTTCTCGTACCTCACTCAGGGCGTTCCTCATGGCCCTCCCCAGAAAACAAATCCTGGGGAAGGCAGTTAATCTGTCTCCTCCCAGAGCGGCCCCTGAGCTCTCAACCGGGAGGCCTTCAACAATTATTGATTCAGCAATTATGGAGCTCCTACTATGTCTTGGGGGCTGCGCTGAGCCTAGTGGCTGGAACAAAGGCATTGCTTACACGGACTTCCTTTCTAGTAGGAGGAAATGGTTAATGAACATGTAGGCAGGTACATTTACACAGTAATAATTATGTAGAAAATAATGTAAGGGTCAAAGGGAACACTTTAAATTTTGAAACACGTAAACATATCACCTGCTAAAAACCTTACTATTGTAAATAAAAAGAAACTTCAATAAGGTTCTGCAATACCGATTTAATTTTTTTTCTTTTTCTCTTCTTAGGCTCTTGCTATGTAGTTCAGGCTGGCCTTGAACTCAATAGCAGTTCTCCAACCTCAGCCTCTGAAGTGCTGGGATTACAGGCCTGAGTCACCATACCCAGCCTGTGATACTGATTTGAGGGGGTGGTCGGTCACCTTGACGAAGCTGGTCAGGTTTGGCTGTCAAGGGAGAGGAGTAGAGAAGGACGCCAAGTTTGGAGTCAAAATAACTGGGTAGACGGTGGTACCATTACTGAGCTGGAGAACTGTCTCTGAGGGAGAGTGGAGATGGTGGCATCAAGTTCAGTTAAATCAGAGTGACCTTTTACAGTGGTGGGGGAGGGGAGGTGCCACTGCTTCCCCAGCTTGTCCTGAGAAGCTGTTTTCTAGAGGGTTCTTGTGTCTAAAGAGGCCCTATCCTAGCGTTGTGGTGCACACCTATAATCCCAGGAGTCTGAGTGTAGAAAGATGTAAAGTTCAAAGCCAGTCTGGGCAATTTTTTTTGGGGGGGGGTACTGGGGATTGAACTTGGGTCCTTGCTCTTGTAAGGCAGGTGGTGGAAACACTGAGCTAAATCCCTGGCCTGGCAATTTTTTGTTTTGTTTTGTTTTTTGAGACAGGGTCTCACTATGTAGTTGAGACTGACCTGGAACTCACTCTGTAGCCCGGGCTGATCTTGAAGTCACAGGGATCCTCTTGCCTCAGCCTCCAGAGTGCTGGGATTACAGGCGTGTGCCACCACGCCCGGCTAGCCTGAGCAATTTAAAGAACTGGGTGTGAGGCTCAGTGATAGAGCTGTAGCATGTGGGAGGGCTGGGGTATAGCCCCCCGCCCAATTCTACATACCCAGCTCCAGCCCCTTTGCACCCAGGACCTTGGGGTACCTCCTGCTCACACTTGCAATATCTGTCCCCCTCTGATGTTAAGAGATTTACCTGGCACATGTGGGGCCCCAGGAGTAGACGTTGAGCAGGGCAGGGAAACTGGAAGACATTAAGCCCAGGCTCCCCCTTTCTTTGGGTGTTGGTCTCCCCTGCTACTCTTGGGAGGTGCCTGACATCAAGGGCCTCAAAGGCTAGTTGGAAATTAACCAAAAAATAGGAATGGCACTTGGCACCCAGAAAGCTTGCTTTTTATTTGTTCCCAATTGAGGCAGATTGGCAAAGAATGGCCTGGAAAGGAAGATGGAGATGCCAGCAGTAACCTGGGCACTGCCTACTCTGCCCTTTAAAGCGCTCTTCCACAAGTCTTCCTAGAGCTGATCTGAATGCTGTTGCTCTTGATTATCTTCAAGTTCCTTAGCTGATAACAGCTGGAAATCCCATGAGGGGGGGATGCTGTGAGGAATGACTGAGCTAGCCCTGGGTGCTAGAACTTCAACCCAGGTCTTCAGTCCAGCCCTTGTTCCTACAAGGATGGTAACTGACTTGGCCAGAGGCTAGGGCTGGGCCAGCCACAGCATATAGTAGCTGTGGACTGTTTTTATACCCTGTTGCTGCTGGGTCTGCTTTGGTTCCTCAGGGCTTGACCCAACTCTGACAGTGCTAGACCCCTGTTCCGATATTAGAACCCCTGGAAGGGGCAACAGCCACCAGGGATGCTGGAGACGTGGGCATGTTCTGCATGGGCTGCTACTTGAAGTAGGGTCCCTTGACTACAAATGCTGGGTCTCTCTGTTGGTCCTTGTTGGCCCTGGTACTGATGCTGGGTCTGCATTTGGGGCCCTGCCAGATGGCTGAGCAAGGCATGAGTCATTGCTCTGGCCACCTCGGGAGTCCCCGAAGCCACCAGTCCTACCACATCAGCCTCTGGGTCATCCAGGCTGCCATGGAGAATCAGGGGGCAGGCCCAGGGACTAGTTGCAGACCTGGCCACTAGGTTGCTGAGCAGAACCCCAGTGCTTGGGGACAAGTGTCCAGAGCCAAAGGAGCTATTGAGTGAGGAAGTGAGAAGGAGCACAGAGCCACTGCTGTCCACAGTGGCCAGGATGCTGCTCACAGGGGTCCCTGCAGTTTGTGGGAGCAGTGGGCAGGGGCTGGGGCTGGGTTCACTGGAGTGTGGGGCTGCCTTCAGCAGTGCCAGCAGCTCTGGGCCAGCCGAAGGTGCTGGTGTGGTTAACAGGATGCCTTCAGGCATGGAAAGCTGCAGTGCCGGCTCCAAGGTGGGTGTGGGCCCAGCAGGCTTCTCCAGCCCCAGGTCTGTGGCCAGTAGACTCAGTAAGACATCCCCGGCAAGGTCTGGGGTGGAGGCTGCCTTGCGTAGCACAGCTGCCAGTTTTGGGTTGGTGGCTCGGGCCCCAAGGCCCAGGGGTGTGCCATCATCATGGCAGAACAGTGGACAGAGGCGCTTTGTACCCTGGGCTGCCAGAGCCCTTGACAGGGATGTGTCCACCAGGAAACCCTCCTGAGCCAGCTTAGCGGGATCCATGAGTAGACGTGGCCAGGGTAGGTGGCCAAAGCGGGCATGAAGCAAGTGGAGGGCAGGCAGAGCGGTAGGCAACCCCAGGCCAGGCGCCAGGGGCCGGGCTGGTCCTGGGGTCAAGGCAGTTGAGTTTCCTGAGGAGCTGTTGTGGAAGAGGCCCCAGAACATGGCACCTGGAGGGAGAAAACACATAAAGGTCAGGAGCACTGGCTAGGACTGGGGCCAGTCCCACTCAGTAGCCCAGGAGAAAGGTCACTGATAAGCTTAAGATTAATTTTTTTATTTTTGAGACAGGATTTTGCCATGTAGTTCATGCTGGCTTTGAACTCACTATGTCGCCCAGGCTGGCTTTGAACTCTGTAGTGATCCACCTGCCTCAGCAACCCCCAGTGCTGGGATTACAGGTGTGTGCCACCACGCCTGACAGAGCAGGGGATCAGACCTACAGGCAAGATTGCAGAGACCTAGGCTCAAAGGCCATAGCCTAGGGGTGGGGTCAGTGCCCCCGTCCACTGTTCTGCTCGCCAGCAAGTCTTGAGGTTCAGGGCCACTGAATTCCAGGACTCATGTTGGGGTCCTCTCCAGGGTCATAGGTTACTGACCTAGTCCTGTGGTGTGAGGATGCACTACGACCAGGCACAAAGCAGTTGCAACTCCGGCATCCACGACATTGCCCCCCGCAACAAGTAGCTGTTGGCCCAGGTGGGAGCAAGTGGCTGCAGTAAGGAAGGGACTGTCACGGGTGGGGCCTGGGGCCCTGCGGCCTGGTCCTCCCCCCTAGAACCCACCTGCAGGGCTGATGATGGCAGCATGGTGGTACACCCCAGCGTGATGGGAGTGTCTGCTGGCTGGGGGTGCCACGGAGCCCAAGCTTCCTGCCAAGCTGCCCCTGCCTTGGAGCTGCCTCACAGCCAGGGAGCAGCTGACCACCAGCAGTAGCAGGGCTGCCACCAGTCGAGCCCAGGCTCCAGGAAGCCCGCCAACCTTGTTCCTGCAAAGATGGGTATCTTGAGCCAGGGCTAGGGGGCCTCCAAAAAAGCCTCAAAACCCAGGGAATGTTTCCCCACAGGGTTTGATGTTGCAAGAGTACATGTTCGCCAGGGAGAGACGGCTTCCAGGCAGAGTGCAGAGCAATGGCAAACACATAGGCGGGGAAGAAGCTGGGAGCTGAGGGAGCATTTGCTGAAGTTGGAGAGGCAGGGGTCTCTGGTCAGCAGGAGGCCCAAGGGGAGCTCAGCAGGCTGAGGAGCAGGCCCAGTCAGCGTAGCCAGGCCCCAGCAGGTGCCACCAGCACCAGGGAGTGGTGGCTTGGAACCTGTGACAGACACATGGACAGGACAGGAGGTTGCTTGGTATGGATGTCCATTCAGACACACAAGCCTTTGATTGAGTGGCTCAGCCCAGGGCCTCCTCCGTTCATCCAGAAAGCCCCTGGAGCTAGGCCAACCATGGGTTGCTTGGCTCCCCTTAGGGGCTCCAGAGAGAGGGACTTGCCTGAGAAGTGGGGTGTCCAGACCCCTCTGACTCACCCAGGGTTGTCTTGGGGCCTCCTGCAGTAGATGACCAGTGACTCTGAGGTCTCTTCCTCTCCCTCCTCCTCGTCCTCCTCTCCGCCAGATTCCATTCTAGGCTCCCAGAGCTTCAGCTTCTGGTAGAGCACAGGCTCTGCTGTGGCTGCCATGGCCCCTGTGGCAGGCCCTGTGCTCCTCCTGCCAGTCTTCCTGGTTGAAGCCCTGCCCCAGCCAGATGGGAGGAAGGTGTGGCGGCCTTGGGAAAGGGTAGTGGCAGGATCTAGAACAGGTCTGGGCAGGGAGGGGCCAGGAAGGCTGCAAGTGAACCTGTTCCATTAGGACACCAGAGTCTCTCTGTGACAGGGATCACAGCTCAGTGAGGAGGAGCCAGCCCTACAGCCTTGGGGCTTGGGTGGGGTCCACCCACCAGGCCCCTCCCTTTGGCCAAGCAGCCCCTGCATCCCTAGCCTGCCTAGGACTCTAGCAACTGTGGATTTAAATTAGAGGTACAGTTATGGGGTAACTGGGGTTGGCTCAGCACAGGACCAGCTTCCCTCCTGAGGGGGTGTGGCCTCCAGGTGAGGTCAAGGCCACTCAGGTTCCCAGAAACACTGGTCAAAGTGACTTCCTGGCACAGCATGTGCTCTTCTGGTTCAGCAGGTGGCGCCACAAACATCTGCATGGAGCAGCAGCCTGGGAACCATGGGTTTCTTAGTTCCTTCTCTCTGTGCTTTCTATCAAGGACCTGTTCTGAGGCAAAGCAGCACTACTTTTAATAACCGCACCATGGAAGCTGCCCAAGCACCCATTATCAGCAGAATAAGTGATGCAAGTAACCATTCAATCAGTGAAATACTCTAAAGCAGAGAGATGTGAACAATCTTTACTTACGTGTAATAAAGTACATGGATCTTACGGAACACAGGAAGAGCAGAAGAAGTCAGGTGAAACAGGACCCACTATGTGCTTTCATTTATGTAAAGCACAAATCTAGTTTGCTGTTAGGAAGCTGGTGGTCTTTTTTTTTTTTAACTATTATGAGGTTCAATTAACAAAAATTTTAATATGAAAATGTATATGATCCAGGACCCAATTTTTATGTTATGATAAAACGGGCTCTTTGGAGAAGGGATTTCTCTGCTGGATGGCTGTCGTTTATACCTCCTCATTCCGAAGCTTCTGACGTGGCAATGTGCTTTTCTCTTTCTTATTACCATCATTCCGGGATTCCTCTATTGCTACCTCTGCACATGATTCATGCAGTGATCAAACTGCGGCAGTGTTTCTTGAGTGTGTCTGCCCCCACTGAAGTTCAGTGGTAACTTCTTGTCCATCCAATTTTTCACCTTGGGAGGGTAAGCTTTGCTTTTGGTGTCTGCTTAGTAGGCTCAGAGATGTTGTCTTTTTTCTTTTCTTTTCTTTTTTTGAGATAGAGTCTTGCTATGTAGTTCAAGTTGGCCTTGAACTCAGAATAGAGCCCAGGTTGGCCTTGAATATGCTGTAATCCTCTTGCCTCAGCCTCCCTCCCGAGTGCATGGCTGCTGTCTGTCTCTTAAACTTGGTGTTGGTTATGCGGGTGTGCATTGATGACCCCAGATGATCTAGATATGGGCTTTTTTATTTGTGTATTGTATTTCAGTAAAAAATAATAATCCTCAAGCGTGTTCTACAGGAAAACAATGGCTACATCTCATAGAAGTTGACAGTATAATGTGGTTACCCGAGGCTAGGAAGAATGGGGGAAGGAGGAACAGAGAGATTGATCATTGGGTACTCAATATGGTTAGGAACAAGAAGCTTTAGGATAGCTGGGTGTGGTGGCCCATGCCTGTAATCCCAGCTGCTTGGGAGCTGAGGCAGGAAGATTGAAAGTTTGAGGTCAGCCTGGGCAGTTTAGACAGATCTGTCTCAAAATAAAATAAAAAGGGATAGTGTTGTAGCTCAGTGGTAGAGTGCTTAGCATGTGTGAGGTCCTGGGTTCAATCCTCAGTTCTGATGAAAGAAAAGACAGGATGTGTGCTATTGCTGAGTAGGGAGACTTAGATAATAACTATGCACTATGCATTTCTTTTTTGTGTGTGATAGTGGGGATTGAAACTAGGTCCTCAACACTGAGCTACATCCTCAGCACTGAGCTAATCTTTTTGTAGTTGGTTCGTTCGTTTGTTTGAGACAAGGCCTCATTATGTAGTCCAGGCTGGCCTCAGACTCGTGACAGTACTCCTGCCTCAGCCATCCAAGAGCTGCGATTGCAGACATGCATTATCACTCCCAGCCACTGAGCTAATTTGGAAACAGTGTCTCCATAAATTGCCCAGGTTAGGTTTGAATTTTCAGTCCTTTTGCCTCAGCTTCCCAGAGTGCTGGAATTATAGGCTTTTACTTCTGGAAATGTTTTCACATTAGATTATAAAGGTTTGAAGAGATTGCTATGCTCACTCTGATTTAAACATTATAAAATATATACACATTTCAAATATCATATAGTACCTCATTCATGTTTACAATTTTTATGTGTCAGTAATAAATAAATTACATTTAAAAACAACCACCACAAAACCATCCTTTATTTCCACATACTTAACCACTTCCCTTTCTTTCACAAGGAACCTCTAACTTTGGTTTGTGTCAGAATCACCAAGGAGTGGCCCTGGATCGCTGGACTCGGTGCCCCGGGATTCTGCCTCTAGGTCGGGGGAGAAACTAGGACTCTGCACTTTGAACACCCGGTGATGCTGGTGCCACAATTCTGGTCCTGCACTTTGAGCAGCATCATCTATAGATAAACCCTGTGACTCCACTGTCTTTGCCTTCCTGTTCCCTTTTTCTCCTTGGCCCATTACAAGCTGATTTCTGTTCCCAAGCCCCTAAAGAGACTTTCAGTTTCCAGTGTTGGGAGCTTTTTGGCCCAATAACAAATGATCCAATCAAATGGGGGTAGTGGTATAGGGTTGCCACCTTGTAATTTTTCCACTGGTGAGGAAGAGACAGGAGATTAGGGCAAAGCTGGCTGAGGAAGAAGGCGAGACCAGTTAATTATAGGATCTGTAAACACATGCATGGACCAGTCCCCAAAGCTCAAGAACCTGAGCAAGTTTCAATAGGATGGACAAGACTTGACATCAGCCTGAGGTGGGGTCCCAGCCCTGCCTCCCAGCACTTGAATATGAAAGTTCTCACTGGTTTCCTTGAGATGTGGCTGATAAAAGGACAGACACCAAGATAAACTTGCCATTGTGGCTTTCTTCAGGATAGTCCACCCTATGTACGCTGGAGTGTATTTTTACACCATTATTATTATTGTTGTTATTTTTTGGTACCAGGGATCAAACTCAGGACCTTGCACTTGTGAGGCAGGCAGCAGAACCACTGAGCTAGATCCCTGACCCTACCTTGCTTTTCTTCTTTTACTTGGCTCAAGTTCACTCTGCAGAGCCCGTTTCTCCCTGACTCTTCACTTTTACTTTTTCAAATAAAGTTTATCACCGTATTTTTTGCTGATATCATTCAATTCTCTCTTTGAGTTGAGAACCTGGAATCCAGCTCCAGAAGGAGATTCAAGCACTGCAAAACTCAGTAACATTTAATTGGCAACTCACTTTTAGAAGGGCTACCCTACAACAAGGGGGTCAGAATGACCATTTGCTCTTATTTTATAGCGTAATTTGATTTCATTTCCTGTTAATACAAAGTAGAAGGTTGGATCTCAGAATGAAGAACAGTTCTTCCTTCCTAAGAGAAGTCCTGGAAGGGGAAAAAAACCTCTTTCTTTCCTTTTTGCCTTTTTTAAAAGTTAGTAGAGGGCCTGGGATTTAGTTCAGTGGTTCTGCCGCCTGCCTTGCAAGTGGAAGGTCCTGAGTTTGATTCCTGGTATCCAAAAAAGAAAAAAAAAAAGTTAGTATGTGTCAGGTGGTAGAGTGATAAACAACAACTCAGCCTCTCCTAAATCCAGAATCCAGACCCTGGAAAATAACAACTTAGGGAAGAAAAAAAGAGGAGCAGATTTCCAGGAACCAGGAAGGATCCTACAGAGAAAGTGAAGAGGCAGAACACAACATGGAAAGGGGAAGGGACAAACTGCACTTTTCCTCAGCTCTCAGATCATGGATCATGGGGAAGGGAGGCAGAATGTACAGAGACAAAGGGAAAGCTGCGGTTCCAGAGGACTTTAGGGAGAAACGTGGCGGTGGAATGGACTGCACTGGCAAGTGCTGTGAACTTTGGGGTGAGCACAGGATTCTGCTCCTGTGCAAATCCTTTGGCAGACAACAGTTGGTGAATGATTCCAGTTCAATCGTCTACCCTTGAAGAGAGTGCTTGGTTGGATGCCAATCTGGGGAAGGGTTGATTGTTTGATCCTGGGACTCAGGGCAGCTGCAGGACGGCTTCAGTTCAGGGCTCCCAGTATTACATTCTCACAGTGACAAGGTGAGAGACAGTCACAGTAGACAGCTGTGTTCAGGGAGCCATGGTCAGGCTGGAAAGAAACCCCCCACCCCCAGGGCTTTAAGTTAAAGAACACAGGCCTTCGCCCATAGCCAGTGGCCAGGCTCACCCCGAATTACTGTACCCTGGATTTGAAAGTCACTGAATTAGTGCCCTTGCCCTAGTCCTACTGCCTGCTGTGCCTGCATCCAGCATGGATCTGGGGTCTGACTGCCTTCTTATCTACCTGTGTGAGCAGGGACACATTTGGACTCGAACACTGCCCTGAAATTGTAATCGTTGAAATAAAACCACGTGTGAAATGACAGTGAAATGATTTTGTTTCGAGCTATTTATTTATTTTTGTGAGTATGTGTTTTTAGTTTAGCTTAATTTTATTTCTTCTTCCTTTTTCCTCCTTTCTTCTTCACTAGTTTATTGGGGGCTTGGGGAATTTTCTTCCTTGTTTTGTATTTCTGTTTCTTTTTTTTTCTCTTCTCCCTTTTAATTTTCCTCCCTTTAAGTGTTTCCTCTTATTTTTACTCCCCATATAATTTCTTTTTTGCCTCTCTTTTTCTTTTATCTCCAATTTCTCATCAGTTTTTCTCTTGCCTTTATCTAATTCATAAGCATCCTTCTACTTCCCAGTTAGGTCTTTTGCACTACTGCTTCTCCTCCTTCTCATACCATATAGTTTAAGGTTTCAAAATTTTCTTACATTTCCCCATTCCCAAACCCTGTATCT